TCCCCCAGCCGCTCAGGAACTTCCCCCGTCTCATCAGCACCTACACATCCAGACAAGAAACAGTCACCCCTGAGCAGGGAGGGACAGAGCAGGACAGCGGTGTGAAACCGGGCGGAACACAGCCCCACGACCCCCGTTTGTCTGCCCAACCCCCCAGCACCCAGACCCACACTGCCCGGGGCAGCCAGCTCCTCACCTTGGCCCTCGGGGCTCCCTGCCCGCTGCTGCCGCGCATTCCGTTTCTGCGCAAAGTCTTGCAGCAGAGCTTCCTCCTCTGACATCTCCTCTTCTTCCTCCTCCTCCTTGCTCTCCGCAGCATCAGGCACCGTGACGTCTCCAGGACCCTCCTGTGCCTCGGGCTCCTCGTCTGGGCTACTGGGCTTGCCCAGCATCCAGGGATTAGCCCCACCGGCACCCGCAACCGCAGGGATGGTGGGGACGGTCACCGGCGCGGGGTCCTCCTCGGGCACATCACCCGGCTGCTCCTCGGGCAGCTCCACCCGCACCTTCTGCATCAGCTCCTTGCTCCTGGCCAGCTGCTCCTGCAGGGCCTTGCGGGCCTGGGAGGCACCGAGGTGTTTCTAATGCCGTCCAGAAGCAACGCGCCCACCTTCCTTGCCCCACCTCAGCTGTGTCCCCCCACCCAACCTGCGGGGTCCTCCTCGGGCACATCACCCGGCTGCTCCTCGGGCAGCTCCACCCGCACCTTCTGCATCAGCTCCTTGCTCCTGGCCAGCTGCTCCTGCAGGGCCTTGCGGGCCTGGGAGGCACCGAGGTGTTTCTAATGCCGTCCAGAAGCAACGCGCCCACCTTCCTTGCCCCACCTCAGCTGTGTCCCCCCACCCAACCTGCACTGGAGACCTTACTGGGGCCCTTCGATAGGCAACGGGGGTTTATAAGAGACGGAGAGAGACTTTACACCAAACCCTGTAGTGACAGAATGAGGGGGAACGGGTTTAAGCTGAAAGAGGGAAGATTGAGATGAGATCTGATGCAGAAATGTTTCCTGTGCAGGGGGTGAGGCAGTGGCCCAGGTTGCCCAGAGAAGCTGTGGATGCCCCATCCCTGGAGGGGTTCAAGGCCAGGCTGGAGGAGGCTTTGAGCAACCTGGGCTGGGGGGAGGTGTCCCTGCCCATGGCAGCAGGTGGGATTGGGTGGGCTTTAAGGTCCCCTCCAACCCAAACCCTTCTGTGACTTGATCTCACCTCCAGGTCATACTTAGCCATGATGGCCCTGGAACGGGCCCATTTCCCCTTGTTCTGGTGCTTCAGACTCATCCGCTCCTGGGGGAAGAGGAAGAGACACATCAGGAAGATGACATCAGGTCAGACATCAGGTCCCCGTGAGCAGGGACCTCCCAGAGCAGGGGGGAGAGGTGCAGAAACAGCACCTGCATCCTGAGCTGCTCCAGCTCCTCCAGCCGTGCCAACGCGGCCTCAGGGTCCAACTTATGCAGCTGCTCAAACTCCTTCAGGGCTTTGCGCCTCTTGCTCTTCTTCAGCACGCGATGGTACCTGCAGCCAAGGGAGTGAGACCTCGCGGTGCCGGGGAGGTCTTGGGGAACGCAGCGCTGTTTTGGGTGGGGGGCTGCCCAATGCGCTACAGATCCCAGGGAGGATGGGGGCCGCTCTGCCTCCCTCTGTGGTTTGCCCAGGGCCGGCTCCAGCGCTGAGGCCAGGAACAGGCCC